TACTGAATTAGAAAGCACTTTGTGATAAGGATTTGTGTTTTTGTGGAACAGGACAAGGTGGAAAAGATGCTGGAGAGGTTGTGGAGATGCATCTAAAGGCTTTGGTGAACCCATTTTGGACTCGCATGGGGAGCGACTCATTAACGGTGGAGGAGTTGCTTGAGCGGCCTGATAGGCAGTTGACAGGGGTGGAATACCACTTTCCAGCCTGGCAGGCTGGTTAAAAAAGGGGCATTCGGAGAGTGGAAGGGAATGGATGGGGTGGAGCACGCAAGCGTGCGAGGCATGCCGCCCCACTTGACACAGGTACAACAATTGTGCAATGCCATGAGTAGTTTGATATCATACATCGATTCAATGTTCGTGAAATCATGTCTACTCCCAACCATCATGTTCCACGTACAGTGGAGGAGGTTCAAGTAGTCCAAGACATGACCGAGCCATCTTCTCCTAGGCACGTTGGATTGGGGGAGGCGGGGGGTGGCGACAGTAGTCCTGCCGGGCAGGGGATGGGTGGACCAGGTGCAGTGAGCAAGGATGGGTGCGCTGCTGGGGCTGATAGGGGGGGTCAGCCCGTAGAGAGAGCCATGGATGAGGACGTTATGGCTGGAACCCATCGCGATATTGCACAAGCATTTCGCTTGGAGGAGTCATTCAGGTACGATAATGTTGTGTTTGTTGTTTTTTTGACTTGGAATGCCAATTATGATATCGTATCTAAACCACCATTGGTGGTTCTTCAGTGTGTGTGGACATGCACATTCGTGCAATCTCCTCTACGTCCTAACCCTCCACATCCATATAGCAGGCCATTGGGGACCAACCTGACGCGAAAGCGTCGTTGGCCACGAGGATGGCCGACACCTACGAGCAGTGACGACTTTCCTGCAGACATGGTTTGTTTTCTAGATCCAAGAACAATGGTTTCGTTCTTTTGTGGTCGGGCTTTGGTTGGATGCGACAAGTCAGGTTGTGAGGGTCACATGCAACTTGCATCCTGGAAACGGTCATGGGCGTGTTTGGGGATGTTATGGTTGTGCAATGTGTGCTGTTCAAAAGAGGAGTTTTGGTCGACCAGTCGGGTAAGGTCGGACTTGCCTTCCAGTAAACGTGGTCCACGAAGTCCGCCTTTGATGGCAAAAATGGTTGGGTCATTTGCACTTGCTGGATTAGGGTATCAACAAATGTGGGAAGTGTGTCGTAACCTTGGGGTTCCCAGGCCAGGACATGGTACATACTATAGATGCATGGACGGGGAAAATGGTTTATGGAGTGTGATTATTGAGGTGGCGAGGCGGAACATGGAGCTCGTGCGTGCAAACATGTTGCTGCGTCCAATTTCGACTCGATGGTTTTGTTGCGATGGACGGTGGTCACAGGTGCGGGAGGCACAGTGGTGCACCGTGTCGTTCATGGATAGGGATACTAGGAGAATCGCACATTTTAGCAACACGAAGATAGTTCGAGATGCGAGAGCAGCAGTACTTCTAGAGCGAGAAGGTTTCAAGCAGGGGATGGACGAGCTGGCGAATATGGGGTTTCATGTGAACGGCATCATCACGGATGAGGGTAGTAGCTTCAAGAATGAGGCACGTGTTAGAGGGTTGAGACATCAGATAGACTGGTGGCATAAGTGCGCGACAGAGATGCGTAGTTTCAGATCGGAGGTACAGGATGCAACGAGGAAGCCGGGTACTGTGAATGAGGCTAGTACACGTGAGGACCTGTATATAATTAAAGTGGACAACTTAGTGACATGGTTGAGGGTGCACTCGCCACGTGGGTCTACGTATGGTAGGAGTAGCGGAAAGAAGGTACTTGTAAAGGCAGTGTGTCAGTTGCGTTCCTTATTGTTCAAAGATATGGAGGTAGTAGATGCAAAATGGTTGCACCCTGAGCTGCAGCAAGTGGTGCTGGAGCCGGATCGCACTGCAGCACCTGTTGACATTGAGGTGGAAGAAGCACCACAACCGGATCATGTGCGTGCATCTCGAGTACACGGGGGGGTAGGAGGCAGTGCAGCGAGGACACCGGCTGTTATAAATGACGGAGCAACCGTAATCGAAGTACAGTGGGCAGAGGTGGAGGAGATGTGGGGCTATGATGCGCACCCGATACATGGTATTCGACCATCTTCGCTTGCATCATTGGTGCTCGTGCAGGCTTGGGGGGGGGACCGGCCGCGTGCTCATTTCCTGAATGACGACACTGATGGTCAAGGTAAATACACATAGATTAAGCTCTAATCTCGCTCCCCTCCCTGTCCCTCCATCCTCTAGCCTCAATCCTCAAGCCTTTCCTACTGCAATCATTCTTACATTCTGCTGGGCTATGCATTTCCATTATGTCACCCACCTACGCCTAGTGTCATGTGGAGTATCAGTGTGCATCTTCTTCCTTTACAACCCGTAATCCAACATAGGCGGTCAAGGACAAAGTGGGGCTGAGGCGAGGCCTGGTACTGCAGTCGGGAACGAAGAACAAGCAGACAGGCAGGACGACGGCACTGACAGGCAAGGTAAATATGTAAGGTGGAGTAAGCTCTCTTCTCACTGTCCCCCCCATCCCTCCATCCTCAAGCCTTTAGCCTCCCTCCTCCCTACAGCCATTAGGGATTGTGCTTCCACACTACAACCCTCCGACGTTGTACCCTTGCCAATCCCAACATAGGCGGTCAAGAGCAAAGTGGGGCTGAGGCGAGGCCTGGTACCGCAGCCGGGAACGAAGAAGGAGCAGACAGGCAGGACGACGGTGACGACATGGAGAATGTCGGGAACGAACCGATCCACAGGAGGTGGGGACGGCGCGCACCATGCAGGCGATCACAAAACGGGGCCGCTGGAGGGGTGGCCAATGAGAGTGAGATAGGGGCTAGGGTGAAGGCGTCCACTGTTACTGACCGTCTTGCTGTGCACTTCTACCATAGCATGATGCGTTGCGGAGTGTGCGCTCGAGCGGGGCACCCGCGGTCGGCCGAAGATGTTTAGGAAGAATTGTGTCTAGCAGCGGACCACTTTGCTGGCCTTCACTCACGATGCGGGAGGGGTGGAATGTGTGCGCCAAGATGTGTGACAGAAAACTGGGGTGAGGCGGAGGCGGTGTATCAACCTAACTCACGGACTCATATCGCGGTGAAGGAGTGGTTAGAAAAGCACTTCAGTCCAGCAAAGGTTGCGTGTATAGTTGAGGGCGCAACTAACTCCATGAACGAGTCTTTCCACTCACTGATTTTAAAATACGCACCGAAACGCATTCGCTTTTCACGTAGCTATCCTCCGCGCATAGCTATGGCTGCTCTTCATTGGAATAACACGATGGATCGTGTTGTGCGAGCGTATGTTACGCGCGCCAGGCAGACCACGCGGGTTAGACGAGGGCGGAGAGATAGAGTCCTTGGTTCAATGGACTGGAGTTGGGTCGACGACATCTTGAGGGAGTGGCGACGCCCGTTTGGGGAAGAAGTTGAGAGTGTTGGAGGGTTAGCCGAGGGAGCCGAAATAGGGGCACAACAAGATATGAGCGGGCACGCTTCACCACCGGCTCCATCCTCACCTTTGCCGGAGACCCTAGCGGGAGGTGGGGACGGCTCTGGAGTATTACAACCGGTAACCCCGATTGTGACTGGGCCATTACATCCGTCGACCCATTCTAGAGGGCGTGGAGCTCGTCGCAGCATACTCGGTGAGTTGGATATTACCTTGTTGTTGAAAATTCCATGCCTACAGTCATTTGTGGGATACATTAGGCAGATACATTTCATAGCACCTCTAATCTAAACCCACCCCAAATGCAGGAGAGGAGGCGACATTGCACCTGCAGAGGGGGAATTGAGGTGGGGTTGGCCCCGACAAGACCCTAATCGCAGCCACAAGGCCAATGCACCCGGGTCTTGTAGCAGGCGCCTCACCAGGTTATGCTCTATGCCTCATCTGAACCTGCGAGGATCTCACTTTCCCTGCTCTCAGCTGCACTGTCAGCATGCTTTGCCTTCCCATTCCTTCCTTGCCGTCATCCTCATCTGCATCTAATTTCAGATGTAGTACCATTGGCCCTAACCAGCAGCCACGAGGCCAATACACGAATGTCTTGGAGGTAACCCTCCACCGACTTGCCTTATCAGCATGCCTTGTCTTCCCTTTCCTCCCCTACCATCACCACCCCCACCCATCTCATTTCCCCATATCTTGCAGGTGCACAGCCAATATTGCCACCCTTTTCACCCACTCATGCCTTGTTTTCTTGCCTGAATATGTCGCATACGTTCATGCGGCCTCTTCCATCACAGCCCACCCGTGTTTTCATGCCCCTCATCTCTCAAGTCAAAATTCTCTTGCAGGTGGGGTGCATACCCCTCCGCACAGACTCCCACCGTCAAAGCCACCTTCCCACTGCATCCCATACTTGTTTCATACTTATCATCCATAGCCCCCGCATTGCATTCCTTCATCACGTTGCTTGTGATGCAGGTGGGGTGCCTTCCGAACTACACATCCTACCTCGTGCCCGTGTCGGGGGTCACATGAGAGCCAGCAACAAGGGCACGGATAGGCATCAATGGCAATGGGCATGGCAAGGTAGTGTTGCAACATATACGGGAGAAGCAGCTTCAGGCCCCTTGGACACTTGGTGTGTCCTTCCGGGCTCCAAGCATCTAATTGGCTGATTTGCACATCAGCACACCTACACACACACTCTCCTCCTTTTAGTATTTCTTACTGACCTGGCACGCATGGGCATCAAACTCGTGTTTGTGTTTATATTTGCCAAGTAGTATTAGACTGCATTGTTCGATGAGATGGGATGTAAACATCACCAGGTTTGAAGCATGTACCACGACACAGGATGGAAACAGAGCAAAATAAAAACACGCAAATGTGTCACAAGGTCTCCTTGCATACTACCCAATGTACGATGGGCCAATGATGAGTGTCCCCAACTTCTACTCATATGCGTCGCAGTTGAAATGTGACGGTGCAAGCAGTGGCGATGGGCACGCAGCATCAAAGGGTGCACGCAGCATGTCGCCTTTCATGTACAGCTGGGAATGCGAGGCACAGCACAGCTGGGGTGATGTTGACATGGGGTGGGGCGGAGGAGGGGTGAGGGAGATGAGGGGATTTGATCCTGGCCCCTGAGGACAGGACCCGATTGCTTTCAGCAGCAAGAGAGTGTGGGGTCCTGAGAAGGCGGGAACCAGTGGGAAGGTGCAAGGCGCAAATAAGCACAGGGGCACGGGAGAAGTCAACCATGACGGGGGATGTTACTACACAGAGGGATTAAGTGAGGGGTGGGGGGAAAGGCATAGGCAAAGAGAAGTGAGGGCCAACAAAGGTAGGGAGGAGGGGTGGTAGGGCGACACTTGGAAGGCGTTGAAGGGATGTGGGTGGGGTTGGAAATGGCTGGGGAGAGAAGGGAATGTGGAGAAGTGGGGATAGGGAGAGAAGGGGATGGGGAGGAAAGGGGATGGGGAGAAGTGGGGATGGGGAGAGAAGGGGATGGGGAGGAAAGGGGATGGGGAGAGAAGGGGATGGGGAGAAGTGGGGATGGGGAGAGAAGGGGATGGGCTGGAAAGGGGATGGGGAGAGGTGGTAACAAGAGAACGCGGCCGTTGAAGTGTGATGCCACTGCATGGCTGGACAGAGGAGAGAAGGGGAGAAGGGGAGGGAGGTAGCTTGGGGATTAGGGAATGGGCTCCATCATTTGCTGGGGAAAACCATAAGGAACGCCGTGCTCAAATGGGAAGAGAGGGGCAAGAGTGGGGGAGAGTGGGGGAGAGTGGGTGAGAGTGGGGGAGAGTGGGGGAGAGTGGGGGACAGTGGGATGCGAGGGGGTGGGGCGGATATGGGGTGAGGCGGATATGGGGTGAGGCGCATATGGGGTGAGGCGGATATGGGATGAGGCGGATATGGGATGAGGCGGATGGGGAGTGGAGGGATGGGGAGTGGAGGGATGGGGAGCGGAGGGATGGGGAGCGGAGGGATGGGGAGCGGAGGAGTCGGAAGCTGAGGGACGGAGAGAGGAGGAATTGGGGGGATGGGGTGGGGTCAGCGGAGGGATGGGCAGAGGAGGGACGGGTAGAGGAGGGATGGGCAGAGGAGGGATGGGTAGAGGAGGGATGGGTAGAGGAGGGATGGGTAGAGGAGGGATGGGGAGAGGCTACGGGAGCAGAGATGAGGGAGGCGCTCGTGTGTCTTGAGTTGCACCACAAGGAGAGAGGAGGAGGGGTGAGAGGAGGGATGGGGACAGGATGGATGGGGAGTGGAGGCATGGGAGAGGAGGGATGGGGAGAGCATGGGTTTGGAAGAGGGAGGCAGATATGGGATGAGGAGGAGATGGGATGAGGTGGAGATGAGGTGAGGCGGAGATGAGTTGTGGGGGAGATGAGGTGAGGGGGAGAAGGGATGCGGGGGAGATGGGATGATGGGGAGATGAGGTGAGGCGGAGACGGGGTGAGGCGGAGATGAGGTGAGGGGGAGATGGGATGAGGGGGAGATGAGGTCCGGGGAGAAGGGATGAGGCAGAGATGAACGACGGGTGAGGTGGGGCGGAGACGAGGTGAGGCGGAGATGAGGTGAGGCGGAGATGAGGTGAGGGGGAGATGGGATGAGGGGGAGATGGGATGAGGGGGAGATGAGGTGAGGCGGAGATGAGGTGAGGGGGAGACGGGATGAGGGGGAGATGAGGTGAGGGGGAGAAGGGATGAGGCAGACAGGAGGTAAGGCGGAGATGAGGTGAGGGGGAGATGGGATGAGGGGGAGATGAGGTGAGACGGAGATGGGTTGAGGCGGAGATAGGGAGAGGCGGAGATGGGGAGAGGCGGAGATGGGGTGAGGCGGAGCTGGGATGAGGCGGAGATTTGGGGAGGCGGAGATGGGAGAGGACGTGTGGAATCAAAGGTGAGCATGGGCGAGCATGTGGGACGGAGGGGAGTGAGCGTGGCGATGAAGGGGAGTGACTCTAGGCAACGGAGGGGATGCGCGTCTGTGACGGAGGGGAGTGCGCGTCGGCGACAATCGGGAAGTGAGCGTGGGCGACGGAGGGGGGTGAGCATGGGCAACGGAGGGGGACGGCGCGTGTGTTAGGGATATGCGACATGGAGGAAATGCGACAGGGAGGAAATGCGACAGGGAGGAAATGCGACGGGGAGAAAATGAGACGCGGAGAAAATGCGACAGGGAGGAAATGCGACAGGGAGGAAATGCGACAGGGAGGAAATGCGACAGGGAGAAAATGCGACAGGGAGGAAATGCGACAGGGAGAAAATGCGACAGGGTCGAAAATGCGACAGGGAGGAAATGCGACAGGGAGAGAATGCGACGGGGAGGAAATGCGACGGGGCGGAGTTGAGATGGGAAAGGATTTGCGCCAGCGGAAATTTGCGACGGAGAGGAATTGTGGCGGGGGGAAATAGCGACTGGGAGGAACTGCGGGGGAGGAGGTGCGGTGGTGGAAAGGCGTCGGTAGGGGACGCGACCTAGCTCGGTAATGCGACGGGGAGGTGCGACGGTTATGCGATGGCTTTGTAGTAACACAATGCCACACCGCATTTCCGCGCTCGCGGAAGAAGCCGCGATAAGTTCCCGATTTTCTAGTTGCATCATCTGTTTACTGAAGTGACGGTGCCTGTGACTGCGCGGGACTGATGTTGGATAATATGCGCGTGACCTGCGAGCGGATTACGAATCGCGTCCGAGATTCACAGTCTGAACCCTAGTGTACCTAGTTTAGCGCCGAATAAGACAGTGCAATTTTTTTTTGAAAAATGCCCGGAATCTGACGGTGGACGCCTGAATAATAGGTCGACTATGTTGCACGCGCTATAGGAGAGTATCTCACCAGGGATGCAGGTGGTAGCGAGCATGATGAGTGGACTAAGCAATAATCTACGGGGAATGGCTGTCCACTCTTCCCGAATTACAAGCAAACTGGACCCAAGTTCTGCCTGCGTATATATGGGCTGGTGGCTTTCCTTGTTCTCCTGAAAGCACCAGCTGCAAACCGGGTAACCATCAACGTGCGGGTGCAGTCACAACTCAGGTGCAGGTGCACAAACCGGGCCCAGTTTGTGATGGGCTTTGTAATTCGAGTTTTGGGCTTTAAACGCGCGCGTCAAACGGAGGGGGGCAGCACCGCGAGATTTACACGGACTTTTTCAGGGGTACGAAGGACCTACGACGAATTGAAGGCGGCAGCAACAGTGAAGGGGGGGAGTGACAGCTGTGAAATTTCATCCCTGCCCAAGAATCATCGACGCATTACGACAAAACTCTCGGAGAAACCATTTCCAACTCTGCTACCGACAACTCTCCTTCGACCCGCCCACGACAACTGCATTAATTCTCAACCACGTCAGGAGCTGCCAGCTGCAACTGCTGAAGATATCGGCTGATTCTGGCGACGTGAAGACAAAACGGTTCAGTTCGAGTATTCGATAATTTTAGTTTCGGTTTCTGTTCTACATCTTCGGGTTCGCCTTCGAAGAATTTTTGGGCAAGTAACACCTCGGATTCGTCATCGAGTTTCCACACCGACGCAAATTTCACCTGGGTCTCTACGCTCAACAGTCTTCTCAGTGGGACTTAAGACCTGGTTTTGTTGGTTTTCATCTCGGCGCAGCTGCGAAACTTTTCTGTGGAGCATTTCTTGAAGGGGAGGGGGAGAAAGTGCTTTGCACTATTTCTTTCCTCGGCGTTTTCTCGGCTCAATTTCTGACTTTGTCAGAATGCAGCAGCACGACGGACGACTGCGATCGCTGCTTCACGATCAACGGTTTCTGCAACATCGCGATTGAATTTTGCGTCAGCAGGTTCCCTCCAATCTCGCGTCAGTCTTCGACCGTCAGATCCACATCTGCTTCATCGACGGCCCACATTCCAACTTCAACTTCATTTTGGGCTAGTTCATCGTCGACCGTCAGATCGAAATCTGACTACATCAACGGCCTACCTTCCAACCTTTTCAAAAATATTATCGAAGGCATTTCGGCTGTCGGATTCAGCTGAAGGGGAGCTCTACGGCATCCTTGCTAGTGGGGGGTCCGTTTTCAGTACAGGACTGCCTTATTTAGAAGGTGGGAGAGTGTAAGGATTTACAGAATCCTTACTGAGGCACTCGTTAGCGAGGACATCCCGAGGGTCACGTGACGAACCTGTCCTTCCTATTTCGTCGCACCGAACCACTCCCGAGTCGCCTCCGCTCCAATCGCAACCATCGCCGAGCCATCCTCGCCCAACCTCTCCGCCTAGCTAGGACTTCCCCTATTTAGTCGTACCTTTCTCATTGTATCGTCATTCAGTAATTCAGTACTCAATCATTCTCGATATTCGTTTTACTGCGCACTCTGCTTCATAACAGATTTGTTCGTCGTTTTGATGAACAATTTCGTTCGCACCTATTCGTGATCAGCGCAAATACCAGAATCGCAGCGTTTCGCGAAGGGGTACTTAGGCAGTGGTTTTAGGACCTAGGGTTTGGTGCTCTACCAAACCATACCATCTCTCCACTTGTCTCGTCCTCTCGTCCTAGCGAAAGGATCAGCTCTAGAGAATGCAGTTCCTGATTAGAGATCGAGAACCACAAGCTGTTTCAGAAGCCGCCCATTCTGAATAGAACCGCTCTGGGTCTAGCAGATTGCCAGCCGCATTTGGCGGGAGATAGAACTTAGTGCCTTGTTCTGCCGCCCTTTACGAGTTTGCACGAGCCTCGCATTTTCAGATCGACGCCTGTCACGTGGGGCATTGCGTTCCCAATTATGATCCCACCCAGGTACGACCCCACACCACCACGCGACGCGTAGATAACACGTCATGCTGGGCTAGGTTCAGCGTGTCACCACCTTCCATTCGCGTCCACGCGCTGCGGATGTCGGTGCCAAGCCTAGCCGTAGGCAGGGTACCGAAAATTCCGATGTGTTTTAAGCCGTCCGATTCGAGCCTGTTTAGCCGTTGTTCTGTCAAAATAATCATAACGAGGGCAAAGCTTTGCCGTATAACGTTTTCAGAAGCACCGGAAACACTCCAACCGTTCGATTTTCGTGTTAGCTGGCGGTACCGTCAGACGAGCAGCAATGCGGACCATCGACTGGGCGCCTCGCGCAGTAAACGGTTTGGTGCCGAAGCTCCACCCAAGGGTGCCGAACCAACGCTTGAACGATGGCCCCTTCATTAACGGGGGAAACCTTTGCCGGGTGTGAGTAGATATGGTCACTTGACGAACGTTTCTTTTCAATCACAACTTGTTTGCTTCACACACTCGTTCAGTCACTCGCACAGACTTTCCCTCGTGCCTCTGAGAGCCCTCGTTGCTCGAATGGACTCGGTCAACCCTGAAACTGCTCTTGCCGTTGCTCTTGCTGCTGCCACGTGTTTCGGAAACGCAGCGAGGTACCTGTGGGAGGTACCGAGCTGGTTGGACTGCCCTGCACTCAACCCCCTTCCCTTCGAATGCCTCTACGAGTGGACTGCTGCTGATGAAGCTCAACTGAGAGCAGCACCGGCTGAACTCAGGGTGAGCGAGGAGCTGCTGCTCTTGGCGAAACTTACAACAGTAAGCTCCGCTGATTTTATCACCGAATGGACTGCTCAAGACGAGGCCGATCTGAGGGCTCCCGTCAGGAATCGCCGTGCTACGCTGAGCGTGAGCGACGAGCTGTTGCTTCTGGTGGGACATGCTGTAAACTCTGATGATTTTATCACAGAGTGGACGGTTGAGGATGATAGGTATTTGAGAAGTGCTTCAGTAAGGACGTCCGTTGGCTGGAGTGTTGCCGAGTGGGTGGCCGATCACGGTTCATTTAACCCTGCTGAATTCGTCACGGAATGGACAGACGCGGACGAGGCTTATCTGAACGATCACTCGATTAGGACTCCTGCAGATCGGAGTGAAGGCGAGCGGATGCTGCTGCTGGCGGCTCGCAAGCCCATGACCTCCACGGAGGTGGCTCTCAAGCTGGGCCGCTTTGCTGAGGCGAGCAAGAACCGCCGGGAACACCGTGGTGGAGCGCGGCTGGGAGAATCATGGCACTCACCTCAGCACTCACCCTCTCCCTGCCCCTTCACCCTCCCCACGCCCCCTGCTCTCCCCCTCATCCTCTCCCTCTCACCCCCCCTCATTGGGGCCAAGCAGTGGAGGGTGTGGTGGTGAACCTTTAGTTGACTGCGGCTTCCGAATGATTTTGACACTTATTGACCTGCTGGCCCGCAATGAGGTGCAGCAGCTTCGCCAGCAGGACGAGCAGCGGTGAAAGCAGCAGCACAACAGTCAGTGAAGCCGCCTGTGAAGGCGGTGGTAAGGTGGTGGAGGTGAGAGCTAAGCAGTCAGCACTCAAGCCCTCAGAACTAAAGGCAAGAGTCGCTGCTCCTGCTGCCTCTGGTGGGGCTGCTGCTGCCACGAGCAGATTGAGAAAAGGCTTGGTTTGGGCCGTGAGGGGGGAAGGGAAGAAGGGAGTGCAGGCAGCGGCAGGAACAGCAGCCTCGCAGAAACAGCAGTCCCAGAAACCCAGGTGGAGGTGACAATTACGACTTGCTACTGGCTAGTGTATAGGAAAAGTTCTTCCTTGTATAATATAGTACACTGATAGGGCTAAGTTGTTACTTGTAGGCCCATGTAAGTTAATGCCATTATGATCATGAGTGTGTATCCATCACGAACTTTAAGACACCACTTGCAATAACCAAGGAGCTTTATATGCTGTGTGGGATGTTGATCTTGTTGTTTGGGGCAGTTGAGGGGCGATCGGCATGAGTATGTCTCACATTGTTTGTATGCATGGATGTTTACACTGCAGGAGGCACTTGTATGCATGAATGTGCTGCTTGGCATGAATATTTTTATGCCCAAACCCCTCACCTCACCACTCACCCTCTCCCTGCCCCTTCCCCCTCCCTCTCCGCCTTCCTTCCCCCTCCCCATGCCCCCCTCCCTACCCGCAATCCTCTCCCTCCTGCTCCCTCTCCGCCAGTGAGGCAAAGCAGGGGAGGGTGGGGTGGGCAACCTTTCTTCGAATCCGTCTTCTGACTGCATCTGACCCTTAGCCACTTTCAGTGCTTTCTGCTCTACTGTTCCGCAAAGAGGTGAGCTTCGGTGAAATTTGAGACGACAAAAAAATACATTGCAATATCAATCTGGTTAGAGCGTGTTCCTACACCTCGTATCAAGAGAACCTCGTATCAGGCTCACACGGAAAATTCCCCTAAACCCAAAACCTCTCGCTAGTTTTACCAGGAAAAAAGTACATTCTTGATACGAGGTTTTCTGATATGAGGCCGTAGGAACATGCCTTTAGGTGAGCTATGTGGCTACTTCTGACGCGTGGCTGAAGCATGAAGATGGGGAACAGAAATGGGAAAAGGCGGGTGCGTTTTGGAGATGGGACTAATTCTTGTATCATTTTTATTACCCCAGCTCTGTTTTGTAAGTTCAATCTCGAGCTGTTACTGTCAGCACTTAGGTATCATGCCAGTGTTCAGATATCCAGTCAGCAGTCATGCATCACATCAGGTTAGCATTTGGGTATCAGGTCAGCATTCAAGTATCAGGTCAGTGTTCAGGATTTTAAGAGAGCATTCAGGTATTCAGTCAGTATTTTCAGGTATCCATTCAATAGCCCTTTATCAAGCTAGCATTCAGGTATTCAGTCAGTATTTTAGGTATCCATTCAATAGCCCTTTATCAAGCTAGCATTCAGGTATCAGGTCATGTCCGTGCCGTGCCAAGTCAAATCCGTGCCATGCCAAGTCAAATCCATGCCATGCCAAGTCAAATCCGTGTCATGCCAAGTCAAATCCGTGCCATGCCAAGTCAAATCCGTGTCATTCCAAGTCAAATCCGTGCCACGCCAAGTCAAATCTGTGCCATGCCAAGTCAAATCCGTGCTATGCCAATTCAGATCCGTGCTATGCTAAGTCAATTCCGTGCCTGAAGGAAGAGCAGCCAAGATCTTAGCTTACCATGTACTGCTTGATCACTCGTATGCATCTCCCTTGCGCTGTATTCATTCGCCAAACAGACATTCTCTTCAACTTCACCTGTAAATTATGTCTGTGAGGAAGCATGCTTGTCACTCTATATGCTCCCACTGTGACCGATATTGCAGCTCAAGCCTTGAAATGATGTCAGAACCATCACTCCGTGCCCCGTTTTCAATCTTTCACCACTAACCCTCTCCCTGCCCCCTCACCCTTCCCCTGCACCCTCAACCTTCCCCCTCCCAGGCCCCTCACCCTCCCACTTACCATCATCCTCTCCTGCCCGCTCCCCTCCATCAGTGAGGCAAAGCAGTGGAGGGTGTGGGGGTCCACCTTTCGTTGACTGCGACTTGAAATGAACTCTCTAACTGCTTCTGACCTCTTTCCTCTTTTATTGAACTTCTCGCATGCAATCAGGTGAGCCACATTGCTACTTCTGTTTTGTACAGTGTCAATCGAGTTTTTGTGGCAGGTTGAGTAGCTCAGCAGGTTGGTATGTAGGTTGGTTGGTATGCAGGCTAGTATTCAGGTTGGTATGCAGGTTGGTATTCAGGTTGGCCTTCAGGTCACTACTCAGGTCTCAACTCTGGCCAGTATTCAGGCCAGTATGCAGGTCAGTATTCTACTAAATGCCATGTTGCGGCTGTGCCATCACAACCATCACACGGCCCGAGTTGTAGCGAACTCTCTGACGGCTTCTGACCCTTTACCGCTCTCCACTTATATCAAACTGCTGGCATGCATTTTGGTTGGCATTGGTGACTTTTGTGTTGACAAAAAGATCAACTCGCAGTAATGTAAACTTTTCTGCTGCATTTGTTTTGTGCATTACCGAACCAGTTTCTGTAAGGCGGGTTGAGAGCTGCCCAGGTTGATATTCCAGTCAGTATTCAAGGCAGTAATATTTTCTAGGTATGTCATTTTGCCACTGGAAGAATGTAATTTTACTAACCTTTTGCAGGCAGTGCCATTGCGACAACCATAGCACGGGGGAGAGACAACCATGCTTCTGTATCAGACATGTTTCATCTCAACTTCATGGCCAACTTCCTAGGCGTTTCAGAACACTTTCACCCTGACTGTGGTACCTAGTTGGCGTGAGAGAATCTTCAATGATGACTATGTACAGTTTAATTACTTTTTCCTTTTGTGTATATGTAAAGTGTAAGGCATTGATTGACTCATTGTTAATCATTGGTTGCCAAAATTTGTCCATAATGTTGAAGTACTTCCTACTGGTAATTGATTGCAGAATGTTTGCAATGCATCCTTGCAAATGTGAGGGTTGCTCTTGCTGGATAGATGCTCGTAGCAGCATGTATACATGGCAAAGAGTTATTGCATACTTGCTACGGTAATCTGACAACCTACCGTAATGGTCTACACACTTGGGAAAGTACCCACAGCCATAGCCACAGCCACAGCTGCTGGCACAGCAGCATTCGCAGCCGCAGCTGGAAGCTTCATTGAAGATGTGGATGGTTAAACCGCAGGCAATTCCAACACATGGCCTGTCCTGAAAAGAGAGGCCTGATTGGTGTGGTTGATGCTTCTGCGGCATACAAATGACGGCCTATGCACCTGATGCACAGAGTGATGCTGCTGTCCCTTCTCCCACCAACCTACATGAGCCCGGACCCTGTGGGCTGTTGATGGCCGTCGGTAGCACGTGTGCATGGGACGAGGAGAATTGGTGGCAAGGGATGAACAGAGAAGGTGGGATGGGATGAGGAGCAGAGATGGTCAGATGGGATGGGATGAGGAGAAAGGACAGTGGAAATGGGATGAGAAGCGATGGTGTGATGGGATGAGGAGCAGATATGATGGGATAAGATGAGCAGGAGAGATAGTGGGCTGGGATAATGAAAAGAGAAGGTGAAATGGGATGGGATGAGGAGCTGAGGTTGTGGGATGGGATGTTTTGAGAGATGGTGGGATGGGATGTTTTGAGAGATGGTGGGATGGGATGAGAGGCAGAGATGGTGGGATGGGATGAGGAGGCGGAATAGTCGAATGGGATAATGAGCAGGGATGGTGGGATGGGATGAAGAGGCGACATAGTGGTATGGGATGAGGAGAAAAGATGGCGAAAATGGGCTGAGAAGAGACGGTGTGATGGGATGCGGAGCAGAGATGGTGGGATGGGATGAGAAGGCGGAAAAGCGGGATGGGATGAGGAGAAAAGGCGGAGAAAATGGGATGAGAATGGTGGGATGAGATGAGGAGCGGAGACGGTGGGATGGGATGAGGAGAAAAGATGGTGAAAATGGGATGAGAAGAGACGGTGTGATGGATGAGGAGAAAAGATGGTGAAAATGGGATGAGAAGAGACGGTGTGATGGGATGAGGGGCAGAGATGGTTTGATGGGATGAGGAGCAGATGATGGGATGGGATGAGCAGCAGAGATGGTGGGATGGGATGAGGACCAAAAATGGAGGGATAGAATGAGCGGCAGAGATGGTGGGATGGGATGATGAGCTGAGATAGTAGGACGGGATGAGGACGCGAAATAATGGGATGTGATGAGGAGAAAAGATGGTGAAAATGGGATGAGAAGGAATGGTGTGATGGGATAAGGAGCAGAGATGATAGGATGGGATGAGGAGCAAATATGATGGGATAAGATGAGCAGCAGAGATAGTGTGATGGGATAATGAAATGACGGTGGGATGGGATGGGATGAGGAGCTGAGGTTTTGAGATGGGATGATTAGAGAGATGGTGGGATGGGATGAGGAGCAGAGATGGTGGACGGGATGAGGAGCAAAGGCAGCGGGATGGGCTGAGGAGCAGTGGTGGGATGGGCTGAGGAGCAGTGGTGGGATGGGCTGAGGAGCAGAGATGGTGTGATGGGATGGTGAATAGAGATGGTGTGATGGGATGGTGAATAGAGATGGTGTGATGGGATTGTGAATGGAGATGGTGGGTGGGATGGGATGCGGGAAAGAAATGGTGGGATGGGATGGGATGAGGAGCAGAGATGGTGGGACAGAATGAGGTGCAGAGATGGTGAGATGAGATGAGGAGCAGCAATCGTGGGATGGGACGAGGAGCGAAGATGGTGGGATGGGATGAAGAGCAGAGTTGGTGGAAGGTACGACTGTGAAACAGAGATCGTGGGATGGAAGGAGGAGCCGATGGTGGAGTGGGTCGGTAACTTACGGTACTTGAGGCAAAAGATGCACGTAGATATTAGCTTTCTAATGCTGCTCTCACTGAGAGTGACTATCAGCATCCTTCTGGTGTATGAATGCAAGTTTTATATTCCTTCTCTGGCCTTTTTCCCTCCCAACCAGCAATTTTCACGTCTGCAGTTTTTCCAGCAGAAAGAGTTCTGATATACGACTCTCGTAAATATGGACCTCATAAAATATGAAACCACCAACTTGGAACGGTGATGCATAACAATCAGTATAATTTTGCTACCTCGCGGCCATGTTGTTCCTGTCTTCCAGCTCCTTCTGCACTGCTGACTGCAGCTTGTCAATGAAGCTGTCAGCTGAGCAAGCACCAGGTATGTTGCTTGTAGCATGGGCGAGGAAAGGAAGTTTTCTTAGAATTCGCCCGCTAAGCCCCTGCAAGGATGATCAAGTTTAACACGACACGGACACTACTCCAAACAGCCACTCTTGGCGACTTTGAAAACGTACCTCACACGCCTTGGCGACCTCGAGAAGCTTCTTCCCTAAGTGGACACCCTTACTACTCCCCATGTCTTCACAATCGCTCAGCATCAATTCGTTGTAAGTGGACGGATAGACAGTGTTGCCCTGTCACTCATAACAGGAATCAGCTCACAAGGAAATTCAGAGAAAACTGAGATTGCAGAACCACAAATAACACGAGGGCAACTCGTACCTCCACCTCTTCAACAATCCCAACTCGTTGAAGCTCGCAGAAGCTCGAATGCAGCATATTATAACGCCCTTGCAGTGACGGTGGTCCAATAAAGGCTTTGATGTCAGCTCGGTCAATGAACGCCAGATCTGAAAAAAGAGAAAGGGCGCCATTTCATAGACCTTGAAGAACAGAGAATGAACTTTACACAAATGAGCCAGGACAGACCAATGGCATGTGTCAAATTCGAAGTCGTTAGAACCATGACGTTGGGATGCTGCTTCAGTTTATCAAGCTGAGTCAACAATGCATTCACGACCTGCACGCATGCACATGGGGGTATTAACACGCACTCATATCAAGGCCCTGACAGGTCACAGGTCAACATACCCTTATAGCATCCGAAGGATCTGAGCCATTTAGAGCAGCCTGACGTGCCGCAGCTAGGCTCTCAACTTCGTCTGACCAAGGCACAACTTTAGTAAGCACCTCATGGTGCACATAGGAAGTGGAATGGAAATTGGATACCCTCACGTACCAATAAGTACGAACACCAACGAACTTCTATCCTCCACAAAAGACTGGATGTGACTGAACAGCTTGCTCACCTGCAACGCAACACAGAATAGACATATGAGACCTTGTTCTCGGCTGGCATTACTATCGCCAACCTAGAACTTACAAGCTTTGCACTTTCGGAGAACCATTTGCTGAAGAGAGAGTGCGCATTCACTTCGATAAGATGGGCTGTCTGATACCTGTAGACTGGTGTTAACATTCAAACATTGCATTTGATCGAGCAGTGACAGGAAGCAATATAGTCACCTTTCTTTGAAACGTATAGATAGCTTTTGGGCCAGTGCCTTACTGAATGCAAAAGCAACAAGATAACAGGAGGGAAGTGGTGGAGAGTGTTTGGACTAAGAAGAATGATCTGTACGGATTCAAGGCCCCCAAAGACCAAAATGCAGAAAGCGGTACGTAGAAATGCTTACCACAGAGATGTTTTTCCTGTACCAGGTGGTCCGAACAACAAAACCACCCTGAAAGTTGAAATGGGTCAGTAAGCATATCAACGCATCACAAACAATCTGGCTGCGTCCGTTTACCTGTTCCAAGAAACAAGCTGACAGTTTACGCCTTTCTCTGAAAACAGAAGTGCACTTGCAGCATATCGAAGAAGTCGGTGCTTGATTCCTGAATCATAGACCAGACTGGAAACAAGAAAGCAGTCAGAACGATACAACTGACTGATCTCCAGCAACTCTTGTACGAGCAAATGAATAATTTCGAATGTACCTTTCCCAAAGACCATGGAAATCCTCTGACGGAAGATTCCAAGATCCAAACGAGGCAACCTCTTGCTCTTGTTCCGTGTCTTCAACAGCGCCTCCTCGACACAACTGCTCACATTTCAGATTGTATTTCATTTCGTAGGTCACGCCATTTTTTTTATATATATATATATAATTCCTTGGGAAATCAGACCTTGAAGATGCTGATCTGAAGATCAACTTGCCAGAAGAGAATAACCTGATTCGCAATAGTTTGCTCATCTGCAATGAACATGCTCGTAAGGACAGCAGTAACTGCTAAGTGAGGCAGTTTATGACAATTCTTACTTACCGATGTCGACAAAGTGAATTGAAGCTACGTTGTCATCAATGAAAGGCTCTTCGCCCGAATTGAGAACAAGAGGTCCATTAGCAAAGACTTGATGCCTATTTGCGAGCAACCTGCACTTTGGAAAAAGCTCTATCAGTCACATCAAAAGCCAACAGAGAATGCAAGATATGATCAGGTGAAATTGACCTGTAGATTGATGCACGGACGTCGCTAAAAGAGGCTTCTGAATCTGCTTTGAGGCAAACTTCAACTGCAATACGGAACGACGACTGTTAGATTACAGCCGTCGAGCTTAAACTCCGCGAACCATGCTACGTGAACAAACCTGATATAGGGATTTTTGCCGAAAAGACTGAAGACTCAGCGTCGATGCAAGAAACATCCGCGTCTGTCTCTAAAAAGGAATCCATTTGACAGCCAGCCTCAAGTGACTGGTTAGGAAGCGCATTGTAGTCTTCAGCATCCATGGCAGCAGACTAGAATCGACGCGTTGCTTCGTGTTTTAGCTTTCACTACTACGTTGTTTGAGGAGAAGAGCTATTTCATTCACCTGCAGCGCGCACCAGCAAGTTCCCTAGGTGAAAAAAGGAAGATAGCATCGCAGGGAGTTCCAGCACTAGGTTGTGTAAATCGTCTACACTTACAAGAATGTTGTACATCTGTATACCCCATTACATAAAGCATCCACACAAATTGGGTTGTGCACAAAGCAACAAAAGTTGAAGTCCATCTGGTCATATTACATTCTTTCCTCTAGTGTTGTTACAATCCCAAGTGGGACTTAGCGAAGGATCACTCAGTGTTGATTGCATGGTAGTGTTGCAGCCGAAGTATTGACCTCAGGCCAGAGTGAATGTAAATGACTGAGATTGATAATAGCATGCATACATCGAATTTATATAGGAAATACAAGGAATACGAAACGACCTAGACTAGCCATGTAATCTAAGGGGTACATTCCCTCATTACAACGAAGTTCAAACCGTGCGGCGCGGGAACCTGTTTCAAACATGTTCCTGCTCTTTTCACTTCAGATGTTTCTGCATGTATCGCAGTTACTAGCGTCGCTTCGACTCTTCTGACTCCTCGACTTCATACTTGGTAGGGTCGGCTCCTGCAGCATACAGGAATGCCTTCTCATAAAGTTTCATATCGTAACACCCCCCTTCATTCCTGGGCGCGCAAGGGGCTGACCCGCTTGACTACTCCGGTGAGGTTGGAGCGGTGCTTGTACTGCTGACGTGGCAGTCGCTTGGTGAGGAAGTCAGCTGCCATCTTGGTGGTGGGGCAGTACGCGAGGTCAACTTTGCCCTGGTCAATTTCGTCCTTGACGAAAAAATATCGAAGCGCAATGTGCTTCATGCAGTTCACAAACCCTTGTTTGTTCGCGATCTTGATGGCGCTTTGGTTGTCGCAGTGAAGGCGAAGTTGGGATTTTCGCTTCCTGCAGCAGCTCCTGCAGGTACAGACCTTCGCGAATTGCTGCTGTCACGGCGATATATTCTGCTTCAGTCGATGACAGGGCAACCAGCTCCTGCTTCTGCGAGTTCCAAGAGATTGGTCCTTTTGGCTCCAGTCGGAAGACAAAGCCGGTTCGTGACCGTCGATCCGCAGTATCAGCGGCGTGATCTGCGTCCACGTAGCCGTTGAGGTTGAAGGAGGTTGTCGTCAGCGTGGAGTAGGAGAGCCCGATGTCAGGTGTGGAAATGAAGTACTGCAGGGCGCGCTCCAAATCGAGCTGGATCTCTGCCACTGGCTTGCGGAAGAACTGTGCCAGTTGGCTGGCGATGTACGAAAGGTCGGGTCGGCATGTGACAGAGGCGAACAGCAGGCATCCCAGTTGCTGCTAGTACAGTTGTAGTCCTGCGGGTGATAGTGAGAAAAATTGAAACGAGGATGAATGAACTATGAATGAACTGAGTACAAATACTAACCCTAATTGGGTTGTACCCCTTATGGGCTACCCCACTATAGCCTACACAATGAGCACAAGCTATATGTTCTGACACACCCCCATAGGCAAAGTGGGGGAGAACAAGGGGTCACAAGACCAGTCAAACAAAGCAAAGCAAAGCAAGCTCAGGGTGGATCACAAAGTCACCACACATTCCGAGCACAAGTTCAAGGCCACAAGGCCAGTTCACATGCAGGAGTACATATATATATAAGACTAGACAAGCAAGAGCAGGTATAGATATATGTAACAGTACAAGCAAGGTCAAGAGGTGAGCAAGTGAGGCAAGACAGGTACAAGACCCAGCTGGGTACAGAAGCGCTGATGATCACAAGGCGCAAGTGCCTTGGTGAAGACATCAACAGTGTTGGCCTCAGAGGCCACGTACGCAAGCCGCAACTGACCACGCTGCTGTAGCTCACGAGCAAGGAAGTAGCGGAGAGCAATGTGCTTTGTTCTGTGCTCCAGTCTCTGTTCTCGACACAAGGCCAGCATGGCCTTGTTGTCTACGTACAGGACTGGAGGAGAACGAGGCGACTCTCCAAGGTCGGTCAGTAGGTAGGTGAGCCAGCAAAGCTCCTGTGCAGCCATGGCCCCGGTGTAGATCTCAGCCTCACAACTGGACCTGAGAACAGAAGACGAGCAAGTAGCCCGCCACAAAACAGAGCCAGAACCAAGGCTGAAGGTGTAACCCTGTGACGACCGCTGCGTAGCCTGGTCGTCAGCCCAAGAAGCGTCCGCGTGCCCAGTGAGGACCACTGGACTCCGCCCTCCAAGCACTAGTCCCATGCCCGACGTACTGCACAAGTAGCGCAACACCCTCTTCGCTGCAGCCATGTGCTCTGGTCTGTGTCTCCCAGGAGCAACATAGCGTGCGAGAATGCTAAGAGGGTATGCAAGGTCAGGTCGTGTGCAGGTCATCAGGTACATGAGGCAGCCAACAAGCTCTGGATACGGGCCACTCGACTCTACGGACTCATCCGAAGGCAGAGCTGAGAGCGAGTGGCGAGTAGGCAGAGGAGTGGCATGAGGCGAGGAGTACGTGAAGCCGAAGCGCTGAAGGACCTGCTGCACCATGTGTGACTGAGTCAGGGTAAGGGTGCAGCGTGCTCTGTCCCGGGTGATCTGCAAGCCAAGGTAGCTGCGCAGTTCACCCAGGTCTGTGCACGTGTGTCTCTTCTGCAGCTCGGACTTCACGTAGGCGAGTCCAGCAGTGTCAGATGTGGCAAAGACCAAGTCGTCGACGTACACGAGGATGTAAAACGGCGGCAAAGAAGTGTCGGTGCGCAGAAACAGCGACGGGTCGGCAGTAGAAGGAGCAAACCCAAGAGCCGCAAGCGTAGTCCTCAGTGTGTCGTGCCACTCACGTGGCGCCTGGCCGAGACTGTAGACTGGACGCCGGAGACTCCACTGGGTACTAGGAGGGAAAGACCCAGTGAAGCCAGGTGGGCGGCGCAGCCAGATCTCCTCGTGCAGGCTGCCTTGCAAGAAAGCTGTGCTGAAGTCGAGAGAGTGCAGCTCGTAGTTACGGTGAGCAGCAACGTGCAGCAGTACCCGAAGAGTGGTCATCTTCGGGGTGGGAGAGAAGGTCTGAAAGTAGTCAACTCCCTGCCGCTGACTGAAGCCACGAGCCACGTAACGCGCCTTGAAGACAGGCGTAGAACCCGGCGGCCGCTTCACCCTGAAGATCCACATGCCACTGACGATGTTCGCCCCAGGAGGGGGGACAGCGTCAACGTAGGTGCCTGTGGACTTCCAGGAAGCCATCTCTGCATCCATAGCTGCCTGCCACTGAGAAGAGTAGGGACCCTCTATCTCCTCGGAGTCGGGATGTCAAGTGCATCCGGGTCTTCCTCAGGGGTAAGCAGTACGAACACGAGATGAGGTGAAGCAGCGGCCAAGCACTGGAACTCCTCCTGCCTGTCCTCAAGGACGTCCGTGCCAAGGGCACACTCACCCCTGACAGACGGAGGACAGACAGACTCAGACTCAGTGACAAGACTAGCAGCGTAGTCTAGGCGACAGCGAGCATCAAAGTCGACGAGCTCAGCAA